CGGTCGCCTGACTGTGCCAGAAAGCCCCAAGCAGCAGCTCCTTGGCTTTTCTTCTTACCGGAGAGAGATCTGGTACCTTCTGTGCCTTGTGGCCATGCTCCTGCTCTGCGTGCGCCTCTCCGGTTTCTTCCACCAGTGCCGTGAAGAAATTCCTCAGTGCCGGCCCTCTCTTTTCCTCTCCCCCCTTGCCAGCCTGAGGAGCACACGGGCCAAAAACCTCTTCTACCTCCTGTGTGTGGCCTTGCTGGTGGGGCTGGTGTATGCAGTGCGGAGCTGGCTGCGGCACTACGGCAACCTGAACAGCTCAGACCCCCTCGTGCTCTTTGTGCGCTGGGGTTTCCCACTGGTGGCTCTCTGTATCACCTGCTACTGGGCCGTTGCCTCCAGTGCTGATGACTCTCTGGGCAAGCTGCAGGAGCTGGTGCAGGTGGCAGTTGTTGCCTTTCCATGGGCTGTCTATGGACTAACATCCATGGGACTGCTGCTCCTGCTGTGCAATCCCATGACGGTGTTTGCGAAGGACACGCGGGAGTCGGCAGGGTCCATCGTCACTCCCTACCTGGGGGTTCCAGGCTCCGAAGTCGACTTCCTGCACGTCATCCCTCAGATCTACAAGAGGATGCAGGAGTCTCAGAAGAGCCGGCTGGAGCGGGGCAGCAGCAGGGCCACCGTTGCGGCGTATGGGCTGGGCAGTGTGTATTCAGCAGCCCTGGTCATAGCCCTCACCCTTCTGGGCTTCCTCTTGATGCTTCTGCACAGTGAGCGGCTGAGTTTCGCCTTCCTGCTTCTTTTCCTGGAGGCCTTCGTGCTGCTGCACATCCACTCGTGTGCCAGAGGCCTTGCTGGAGATGCTGGTAAGTCAGGGCTCAATAGAACAACCTTTGGATATGCGACCTGGGCCTCACCCAGAGCAACCTTGCCTTAACTCCAATGGGAGAGGGAGGGTCCAGTCTTTACTCTTGGGGAATGGTGGTGCACTGGTATTCAGGGGATACTCCAAGCCTTTTTGAAGCTGCTTAAATCCTGTACTAGAAGAAAGATGTGTGCAGCAGGGATGTAAATGTGGGGGGTGGGGAGGAGTAAGAGTCCCTTGTGTCAGGGAAAGGAGCCCTACACCCAGTTCTTCTGCCCTGGGTATGAACTCCACTGCTGCTGACAGAGCCCAGTAGCAGGGTGTGCAGCAGAGGGAATGCTGGCCCTGGTGGAAGCTGGACTGGTTCCTGTCTCCCAAAAGAGCCAGCATGGAAAGAGAACCTGGAAAAAAGTCAATAGGCTTTTATTGATTTTGTATCCGTCATGTTCCTTGGTGCTGATATCATCTACACCAACCCCCCCCTCTTCTTTTTGTCTTTTTGTCCCTCAGAGCCTTTTTCAGTGCCCTGGTATGCAGTCATCTCCTGGCTCCTTGCTGCTTCCCAGTTCTTCTATTCCACAGGCCACCAGCCCATCTTCCCAGCCATCCACTGGAATGCAGCCTTTGTTGGCTTCCACCTTGACCACAGCACAAACCTCCTACCTGCTGTCCTGGTGGGCGCCAACACCTTTGCCTCTCATATCCTCTTTGCAGGTAAATCAATTTCTCCCCGGGCTGTTGAGCCTGAGCAGACAGAGCTCACTGTTTTGCCTTGCCTGGGGGCCTACAGGCTGAGCATGAGGAGTTGAAGGCTCTAGCACCAGCTGAACAGCAGCATCCTCACTGTCCCCTTGTGGGGCCATGAAGCTGCCTATGGTCTGCAGCCTGGCCCACAGACTGGAGCTGGGCTCTATGCTCCCTGCACATCTGGGGCATGATGGCAGAGCCTATGCTGCCACTCACCTCCTGGACTCCAGTAACTTCATGTGCCTTTGTCCTTGAGGTAGTTGGCTGTCCGCTGCTCCTGCTGTGGCCCTTTGTGTGTGAGATGCCCAACTCGCAAAGAAAGAAGCCCAAGAAGGAGTCCCGGGAGGAGCTGCAGGAGGTGCAGGAGCACATGATGGAGATGAGGCTGCGGGAGTCTCCAGAGAAGTTCTCTACTGCTCTGCTGCAGCTGGGGCTGAAGTACCTCTTTGTCCTTGGGACACAGGTACAGACAGAGGCAGGGTGGCTGTGGGAAAGGCTGTCTAGGAGGAAATAAGTGTGCAAACTGTTACACTGTGATGAGGGAAAGGGGTCAGACAGGACACTGACAGGCCTAGGAATGGTGCGCCTGTTTGCAGGTGGAAGAGCAGATTCCTTCTCAGCCCATGCTGTTTGCTCTATGCTCTGGGAAGGGCTCCAGCATGGAAATTGCACTATGAACTAGGCTGCTTTTCATACCCACCTGCCCAGAATGGGAAAGTCTGTTGAGGAACTGCAGGGTTGTAATCCTGCTCCCCCTCTTCCTGACTATTCCTATTTCATAGGAGATTTTTCTTACGTACTGTAGTGATACAGAGAGCTAAACACTCGAAATTTAATCCTGTGAAAGAAGTGAATAGATTTCTGGGGTTTATCCCTCCAAATCATTCCCCTGTGTAGTCAGACAAGAGACACAGTGCAAGGAAGAGGGCAGGCCCTGCAGCAGAAGAGCAAGAGTGTCCCTCTCAGTGAAATAGGTCAGGTTAGCCACAGTGTGAGCCCTCTGTGCTGCCTTAGCCTGGCCCTAGGAGGGCCTGGGTGTCCCTCAGGCTGCGTGTGTTTCCTCACTTGAGGACATGGTGAAGTCCCCTTACAATGCGCCTTCATGGTGTGTCTTGTATCAGCCTCTCAGGCGTGTGCAGTTTAGTACCACCTTCAGATGTGAACTGAATGCCTAGAAAGTCTCTCCAAGAGCCACTTGTAACTTGTTTTTCGTGATCTTCCCTGCAGCTTCTGGCCTGTGTTTGTGCAGCTATGATTCTCAGGAGGCACCTCATGGTCTGGAAGGTCTTTGCCCCAAAGTAAGTCCCAGGAGTTGCTCTCATGCTGGGTTAAGGCTCATTTCCCTAACATCTTGACGGGGGTTCATAGACAATGATGTTGGAAGAGACCCTGTGAACAATCTGTTACTTCTTGCCTAGTTAGAGGTTGTTGGAATGTCCTTAATTAATTCCTGCTCGAAGTTCAGAGGCTGGACTTGAGCCAGAGCCTCGCAATTTCCCCTCATCTTGGTTTCCAAGGACACACAGAGCCCACATGGAAGCTAAGAATATTCAAGACATGGAGCCAAAGTCAGGGATACCAGATCAGAAGTGGTAAACCCAGAAATCCTGAACTAGAGAACCTTTGGTCTAGTAGGTGTGGGGCCTCAGCTTCTGAGGGATTCAAAACCCCACCTGAGTCAACAGGTCCTGAGCAGACTCTAAACCAGAGGACTGCTTGAATTTCAGACAGCAGGCAGCAACTACTGGGGAGCAGATGTAACTCAGGTTTTGGGGAGCAAGTGTAATTCAGGTTTTAGGACATGGGGTGCTACCACCCTCTCACTATCAGGAAAATCAGTCTGCTGGGAGTGAGGATAGCAGCCTGTCTTTGCAGGCATGCTGGCTGTGATATCCTTAACTGCATCTGTTGTGCCTGCAGGTTCCTCTTCGAGTCGCTGGGCTTTGTGGTGAGCAGCATCTGTCTCCTGCTGGGGATCTCCCTGGTGATGCGTGTGGACTGTGCTGTCAGCGCCTGGTTCAGCCAGCTGCGGCTCAGGTAGCGTTGGAGATGCTGGGACCCTGACCTGCCTGTTGGCCGAGGCTGTGGTTGTCTCCTTGCCTTC